TGGAATCCAGCACTTTACATCGCGGTATTTCAACCCTGTGTATGAAAACTCGTATTTCCAGGACTAGCAAGTCTTCTCCCTCTTCTCTCCCTTTAACTTAATCCCTTCGTAGGCAACTGTAAGTAAACTGGAAGTAAGTGGTCTTTATTTAGTTAGTTACACAGGTCTGACTGTGCTGGTTTAAATATAAATCAGGGCTTGAACTGGGATTTAACACTGATGAGCTTTCCTGTGTTTATCTCCGTTCCATCCCAGAAAGATTCAAACATTTGTTCCAGTCCAAAAATTGCTAAAGAGCACATTTATGTAAGCATTGCAGAGAAAAGGCGAGCCCTGAAATAACACCATTAGCGTTCGACTGTGGCCTCGGGGTGGGGGAGAGCAGCGGGGGTGTCGGTCACAGGACAGAGCGAATAAAAGGCGAAGGGAGTTTAGACATCATTAAAATTATTTATTTAAACTGAGCTAGTGACTTGGGGACACATCTTTCCAGAAATATGTGCCAAGGTATCAAAATCATTTTTCAGTTTGTGCCCGATGCTGGGGTTTTTTTGTTCCAAAATAAAAATAGTCATAGATAGGGTTGCATGGCTTTCTTAAGCAAGTGTTGATTAAAACCAGTGTTATTGCTTCCCTTAAGACCCCTCCACCGTGTTCATCCTGCGGATCGGATTCTCCCTTGCGCCCTTCACCTCCTGCGCTCATTTGCATCGCTTGAAACTTGGTATAAAGCTATCGTTCTAATTCTGTGCTATTCAGCGATCGTTTTGCAGTTATTTATAACTGCGCGCAGCACTTGGCCCGTTCGCTGGGTTGGGGATCGGGAGCGGAGCATGTGTGCTGTGCCGGCAGACCCGGCCTCTGTTATTTCTCACTGCGAGAGGATCTGCAGTCCCTGTTATTTTTACATTGAAGTCATTAGCGAGGCTGAATTTGGGATTGCATTGCATTTAATATCCTTGGTTTTTTTCTTTGAAAGACAAGCATTTGGCGTTTGCTGCTTCTAAAGCAGCTTCTGGCTTTTCAGGCTTCAAAATTCACGTGTGATTTGGAGGAACGCAGGAATTGCTACTCTAATACCTTGAAAAGTGGCATTATTTGGGGGCAAGCGGTCGTTCCTATAGGTGCCCCTGGTGCATATGTATCAGCCGGGCTACAGAAGGCAAGGATATCGCTGGAGAATTTAGGTCAAGCTGATGGCAGAGCGTGCGGGAACCTGGCTGCGGGCCAGGCGGGTGCAGAAGTTGTGACGGGGTATAATTGTGCGTGAAATCAGAGCTGTCCGCATTCACTCGGCTCGCACAGGTTCAGCGGGACGTTCAGCGTATTATTATTATTATTTTTTTTTTAACCCTCCTTCCAAATCCTGCAATGTATCAGACATGGAGAATGTATAACACGGTTTGTGGAAAACAGATTAATGTCAGATCCTGAAGTTTGGAAAACTTTCAGCCCCTCCGTTGCCACTATGACTCAGTAACGTGTGCTCCAGAAACTGCCTGCGAAGCCAGCATCAGTACCGCCTCGCAAATGTTTGCATTGGGACAAAAGATGGAAAAATGGCAGCAAGCCCAGCGATTATTTTCAGATAAACACCGCAAAGCAGACACGAATTCCCGTATCCAGTGAAATCTTCTCCATCCACCGCGCTGGGCAGTCTTTGCCACCGCGACCACCCAGCCACCCAGCTCCCTCTCTGGCTTGAATGTCTTTGCATGGAGGAGGTAGCAAGCGTCTGTCCTGCTGGGTTTGTGGAAGTATTCCTAATGAAGAGTAATTTTGCAAGATTTGTATTTATCTGGAGATTTTAAAAAATATCTATTGATGGAACAAGCTTTGCTCCAGAACAGCCTAGCGCTTCCAGTAAATACTTTCTAAATATAATGTGAGGAATGATCTCGGCGTATTCAGGCAGAGGGACCCGATTCAGTTTGGATGAATTGCATTGATTTTTGTTTTCCCTTTCCTAACTGTATGTGGTTTCACGAGACTGTTTTCTGTAATGGTTGGCAGGGATGAATGTTCCTTTGCCAGGACTTTGAGATTTGTTCTCCGTGGTGGTCAGTCAAGTCAAGATTTACATCTCGCCGGCCAAATCTGCTCATCATTCTTCTGAAATCCACCCCTCCTCAAATTACTTTTCTCCTTGGATTTTGCACACACAGCCTCTATCGGTGGCTAACATATTCCCCAAATAAGGTGTAGTTAGAAGAAAGTGTGTCTAAACCACTGGCTTTAAAATGCAGTTGTATATTTTTGCTGTGTTTTTTATCTCTCAGAATGTTTTTCTGGACGCTTCAAATGCCTTTTTTTTTTTTTTTTTTGAGCAATCTCATTTGACTCAAGGGAGAGAATATCCAGCAGTTGTTTATAGCAAGCTGTAAATGTCAAGAATGCTCCATGAGTTGTCTGCAAAGGATGTTCCAGAAATCGGAGGTGACGCATTTTCTTTCCTAAACCAGTTCCTGGGTCCTTTTTCTTCCACGGAGCCTTCGGAATCAAAATCAGCTGTTGGGATACTTTCTCCCATCTTTTTTCCTCATTTGTCATCCTCCTCCAAAGCTGTCTCCCTACATGCCTCATTAAGTTGATAAGCTACTGCTTTGGCCGTGGTCCTCACTGTAATGCTGCTGGGGCTGTAGATGTCTGGAAGCAAAGTTCTTCATTGCTCCACCTATTCCTAAAGATGGGGCTTGATGCTCTAAGCGGTTTTGGATGGGTTCTCCTTCAGAAACCCTTTCCCTTCAGCCTATCTGTTGAATAAGCCCCAAATGGAAAGCCAGCAGAGCTGGGCAAGACCAAGCATAGCCGCACTTCTTCAGTTCTACCTGAGTTTTGATGACTTGGGGTTGGTTGTGGCCTTTGATTTCGTAATCTGAACAGCAGGGTTTGTGCCTCTGGCTTTTCCAGAATTACTTCTTGCTGTCGTGACAGCATCCCGAAGGAGTTCCCTGTTGCGTCAGTGCTTGGAAAGCCTTGGGGCATTTTGCATGCGTGGAGCAGAGCAGAGCTCCCTCCCCGAGGACGGATAAAGCTGATTGGGAACGGGACCGCTGAGTCCCTGCCATCTGTACGATTGACTCTGAGCGATCCCCGTCTCATCCGTCTTGCACAGCTGTAGCACAGAGGCACTTCCCTAAGCAAGATCTTACAGCCTACGTCTTGCCATCAAATCGGAGGTGGGAGAGGATCTTTTAGGATCTTGGCTCACATCCTGTTCAAAAGAAGCAGGAATAAGCGTTAAACGGAGCTGCAGCAGGCCGTTGGGAGCTGCGTGGTGGTCACGGCAGGGCTGGTATTGCAAAGTCTGCTGCTAATGGTGGGATAAGTTCGGGACTTCTCTGCGCACGGTAGTTTGGGCTTTGGTTTGATGCATGTGCGTATTTCGCAGTGCTTTTCCCGCCCTGCTTGATACCCTTAGCCCGCAAACATCAGGAGGTGACGATGCTGTTCTTTGGTGGCAGCTGCGCTTAGATCCCTTCTGGGTTTCCCTTCTTTGGGAAAAGGTACCTTTGCTGAAATTCGGAACAGAAAAGGGGGGGATTGTGTCCTTTCGCCTGATGTGCTGAAGGGTGATGGAGTTGAGAAAGGACGAGGGGAAAAATAAGCTAGATGCATCTGACGTATTAGTAATGGCATGACACGTGGCGTACCTAAAAGAACGGCCCGTCATCAGTCATGGAGCAGTTTCCCTGTTTTAGGAAGAGGGGGAACGGTGCAGAGGCTGGCTGCAGGCTGTTGGTGCCTGTTACAACCCCAGGTTCCTTTGAAGCAGAATCTAACTAAAGCATGTTTTTGTCTTCTGTAATTTCTGTCAAGAAAAAAATCTATTTTCAGCAGCAGTTTCTGCAAAAAAAAAAAAAATCTACATTTTATAATATACTTATGTGCCTTTGCTGTAAAGGACTGCCGTTTACTGCAAAGCCTACGTTCAGAAAAATAGAAGCAGCAGTTACATTTTCAGATTTGCCAGTTGCAGGTTGTCTGGACATTTCCCTTAGATGCCAAGGTTCGCTTCAGGTGCCTCGGGAGTCTTCCTCGGAGGTTCTTGAGTAGCGGGTAGAATACAGGCCAGGGGAACCAGGGGAAGGAGCCTTTTGGATAGAGACAGCGAAGGAAAATGGAGGTGACTTGCTGTTTGTAACATTGCGGTTTGTTTCTTTTTTTTTTTTTTTTTTTTCCCTTTCCCAGAAGAGAAGCCAAAACCAGATCCAGTATTAAAACCTTCTTCTCCAGTCCTCAGACCAGAACCTACTGGGGAGAAAAAAGATCAAGCTGGCCAGACGACCGAGGCCACCTCAGTGGAAACCCCACCAGAACTTCCTCTTGCTCCATCACCGAGCCCGGCCGCTCCCGTCTCAGTTGTTTCTTCTGCTGCTGCTGCTGTTGTCACCGTTTCTAGTAAATCCACATTCACAGCTGACTCAGAGGAGAAATGTGAACTCGCTTCCCCAAAAGAGGAGGCAATGCCTATATCTAATGCCGCACCCTGCACACAAAAGGGGAGGCATTGCCTATATCTAATGCCGCCCCCTGCACGGACACATCAGACCCTTCGCCAGCAGAAGAGGCTGATGCCGAGGTGTGCAAGGAGCCTAGTAGTGTAGCATCTAGTGATATCCCAGTGACTGCTAGTACTAATCTAATTAATGAAATGAATGGAGTTAGTGAAAAAGTAACTGCTGCAGAGAGCGTAGTAGGTGTAGCCCAGACGGAAGTTGCGCCATTGACTGTTGAGTTGGAGACACCAGAAGCACCTCCGGCAGAAGTGGAAAGCGTGCCATCTTCCAGTGCTCTTCACGCTGCTCCCTCTCCCCCTCCCCCCCCGCCTCCCGCCCCTCCGCCGCCTTCTCCTCCGATTTCTGTTGCTGCTGCTGCTGTTGCCACTACAACTCCTTCTCCACCTCCTCTTCCATCTCCTAGTGCCCTCCCTGTTGTTCAGGGGGATTTAGAAGGAGAGGAGAGCACAAGAACTACTCTTAACGAAGAGGTAAAAGATACTGAAAAGAAGGAAGAGACAGAAGCAGACGGGCAACTGGAGGAGAGCACGGAGGCTCAGAGTTTAAACTCGAGCAAGAGTCCTGCCCCAGGTAAGCATTTGGCACCGTGGCTGCGTGCAGTAAACTGGAGTATGAAGGAAAGGGGTCTTTGGGGTTCTTCTTCCATCAGGTGTTTCTGTTTCTATCTGCCAAAAAAAAAAAAAAAAATCTGATTGTGCTGCATGACCATTGTTGTGATTGCAAAATGCTAATCTTTGTTTGCAGGGACAAAAAAAAAAAAAAAACCAACCTCATAATTGTTCATACCAGGCGTATCCGACTTGGATGTGCGTGGCAGGGTGGGCTGAGTTCGTGTCAGCTGCCGGCGTTTGGCTTTCGCGGTGATGCCGGGCAGCGCTCCCAGGTGCTGTTACGGGGGAATTCAGGGGACGCTGCTCCTGTTCTCTCCCAGGGCACCGGTCGGTTCGAGGACCTGTTGCTCTGGGTGTATCACCCTGCGCCTAAACCAGGTTAACGTTCCGACCTCGAAGCCCTCGGGGTGAACCTTCTGAGCCAGCGGTTTCTGGAAAACGGTGGGGTGAGGCTTTTTCCAACTACAGAAACTGTGTCGTGGTGTTACCAGATGTGGGCAGATGAAAGGGACCATTAAAGCGCTTCTGAACGACTGAAGCACCAAGTGTCACACACCTCAGTCTGCCCAGCCTTAATTAACCACGCAGCTGGCTTTCCTCTGCAAAAATAACGCGTAAACAAAATTTCCCCTTCTCGCTCAGCTCGCCTGTTCTCGTTTCGCTATTCTTGACATTTTCAGAAAACAAGGTGCTTTAGTTTGGGAGGCGTAAGGACTTGTTCCGAATCACTAAAAATTGCAATTTCTGTAGCTGCCTTTTAAAATCCAGGCTATTTCTCCGAGTGTTGTTATCTGCCTTTGGTTTCAGTGTCCTATCGCATCGCTCGTTTAGTATTTAATGGATTAATGTAGACCACTGTCTTTTTTATTTGCTGTCTTTTCAATAGAAAACTGCTTTATTTTTTCAGGAACTTCCTGGAAATGAAACTGTGGAAAAGAAGTTGAATCAATCAATTGTATTCAGCTGCTGGGGGGAGGATAATGGTGGCTATTATGCACGCCTAGCAGTGTTAAAGCATTAAATGTGTCGCATCTTTTATACCCTGTTTTGCAGTCCTTTCAGAGCTGTGAAGCTGAGGTTGCTTATTTAACTATATCCTTTGAATTTGGTGAAGTTTGGACAAGAAACAAAGGAGAAACAGTAGGTTGTGATTTGGGGGTTGTTTTGGTTTTTTTAGAGAAGTAACATTTCAAATGGGGGGGGTTAGTTTATTCTTTCACAAGCCAGCAATGAATGTGTAATGGCATCAGTAGCATCTAGGGCTACACTCTGCTATGGATTAAATGAAATGAAAAGCTGCGATTGGCCTTGTTCCATGTGTAATGCCGTGCTCGGTCAATATGCTGGATCTTAAATAAAATCCAATATCTAGAGAAAGATCAGAAGGATCCCTTCACTATAGCAGCCACAGGGTTGTGGGGGTTTTTTTTCTGCTAATCTTTTTCTATTTTTATTTTACTCGGGTCATTTCACTGCTCTGGCACTTGTTGTTCTTTCAATCTGAGCTACTTCATAACACAAATTAATTTCCTTACAAAGTAGAGAAATGGGACTCTCTCTGTAAATAAGGTTTTATGCAGCCAGGTTCCAGCTTGCAATATTATTGCTTGCTTTGTAATGTCCTGTAGTTTAAATTAAAAAAAAAAAAAAAAAAGTCTTACAATTTTTTTGGCTTTTAATTATGCAGAAGATTAATTTTAATGCTCTAATGTCATTAGGCTAGACAGCACACGTTAGCCAATACACTGGCTTTGGCAATAGAGAAACAAATATTTCTCAAGTCGCGTAACAGTTCACTTGAAACTCTGATTACTGTTGAAAGCTCAGTACTTCAAGGAGAGCAAAATACTCTTCAAGTCAGGTTTTTTGTGCTTTACCCCTTCTTTAATGATGTTTAACTGTATTGCATTTCTCTGCCAACCTTTTTTTGAGCAATAGTTTTCCAATTCTTCCTTGGAGAGGGGAAGAGAGATTTAAATAACGTAATCTGAAGGTGACTGCTAATTCAGGCGTCCGTCTAGGCTGGATGAGGAATTGCCTGTCTGCCATACGCTGGAACATACAGATGCTGAACTTCAGGAGCAAAGAGAAAGGGCTGGGGGTTGGGTGGGTTTGATTTTTTTTTTTTTTTTCCCCCCTCTTGGACTGAAGGCCAAGAGTTTTATGATCTCTGGAGATACAATAGGAATTGGGATAAGGGAAACATCTCAAACATGTGGTAGTAGGCGTGAGCTCTCCGACTTCTAACAATATTTCTTTGGGGTTTTCAGCAGAAGCGCGTCCTTATTACAGAGAAGTTTGATTGGCCGCAAATCATACTGCTTTATTCCCTTTAATGGTAGCTGATCTGATTTGACTGGGAGACTGCTCAGATCCAAGACCGCTGAGAATAATCTAACTGCTGCAGCACTTCCTCCTGAGTGTCCTTTTCATAGTTAGAATCTGGCCTGCCTAAAAATGTGGGCTTTTCTGAAGGAGACATTAATCCACCTCCTCCCTGCCGTGGCGGGGCGGTACTGTTGAGACTTGCAGGTGTATCCCATATTTTGCCATGGGGGTGACAGCTTTTCAGGGATGCACGAAATTATTTGCTTGTTCCTCAAGAGTACACCTTCTGTTTAACAGTCAGAGAAACAATACCTTTATTTTTTGCTCCATCAAGCTCTGTACAGAGAGAGAAACAAATATGTTCAGACCACAGAGGCTTTCCCTTGAACATCTTTATTCTCCAGCAGTTCTTTTTTTACAGCTCAAGAAAATGAGTTTTTCAGTGTTGGCAGCAAGAGACCGGAGCTGAGCAGAGCCGACCCTTTTGGGATCCAGGGGAACCTCTGCTCGCTCTTTCCCACTGGCGTTAGGTCTCCCCCAGATTTCCAGGGCCAGAGGACGTCTACAGGAGCACCTGTGTTGTATTCTTATTTTGCAGAAGTTGGAGCATGCTTGGTTTTCCTTTCTATTTTACACTATATTCTATCTGCTCTTAATGTCTTAAGTTGTATTAGCCTGCGTAATGAAGATAGCAATTGTAGTGGTTTGATCTCAATGTCCGATAGCAGCCGGTTCAGCCGTAGCCTGCTCATCAGCATCACTGGTCTTGCTTATAATCCCTACGAAATGGGGAGGATTTGGTGGGTTTCAGAGCACTAAACCACTGAGGACTGCAGGTTTTTATCCTGCAAGCAGGGTGTTGGACCTGGGCGTGTGGTTTCTGGCTGCTGACTGTTTTGGTTCCGAGTGTGCACCAGAATGTGGGGTCAGAGGCGGCACGTTCACCCTACTGCGGGTGCAGGCAGCAGATCGCGTTCGTGCCTGCTCGGGAACGATTGTCTTGAGATTTCAGGATGGGCAGAGCTCTTATCTGCAAAGGGCAAGAGCACACAGCTTTTAAAATAATTAATTCCTACTCATCTTCATTACAAGGAAAAAAAAAAATACAGATATTATCAAGAGAGGAACTCGGCGCTCAGCCTGCGAGCCTTACGAAAAACATTGCTGCACTTAAAAGACATCAACGACACGCAGTTGCTTTTGTTACTAAATTCTGTTTTTTCTCTAGTAGCTTTGCCGGCTGCGGTGAGGGACCAGCACTTCTTGGGGAACAAAACAGGAAAAATTTTGTTGGTGGAGTGGAATTTCTAAAGAAGGCAGTGCTACCAGAGACCCAAAGCCTTTAGGACATGCTCTGAATGCCCGCCTTTGATGTAATCTTTCTATCATGGCCATTACAAGAAGCAAAAAGGAAAATAAGAGATTGATGTCTGTCCCAGGCAGAACTCCTAGGAACATAGGAAGCCAAAAGAGCTTAACACGCATTGAATTCAAAGGGCTGTTTCTTGCAGAGCTAATTTATGAGACGTATTTCAGTATAAAGTAGCCCAGCTGACTGCTAGTCCCTGGCTTTCTTAGCTGTGGAGGCTGTAACAAGCAGCTTGGGGCAGCGATCGGAAATATCTTGGAGAAATACCTTCAGCACCCAAAGCCGGAGAGCCGGAAACAGAAATCGGGTATCGCCTTTTTCTTGATTTGCTGCCATAGCCCACTGGAATATATTTTCTTTCCCATGAGCTGTAAGGCGATGGTGAGTCTCTGCTTTGGTTTTTAATGGCACGTTGGCTAAAAAATAAGGATATAAGAGCTGGTATTAATTTATGCTTAGCAGTTGGCACCCACATCAGAGGGGAGACTGCCTTCTCTGTCTCGCTTGGCGGGTTGCGGACTTGCTGGGGTTGGTATCTCCTGCAGAAAGAGGTTCCACTGAAGAACGTTATGTAGCTGGAGAAATGAGTCTGCTGAGCAGATTTCTCCAGCGGTGACGTTACCGCCAGTAACGATGTCCAGGATAGTCTGGAAAGAAGGATTTTGTTACTCTTTCCAGTCCTACGGCAGCTAGAGGATTTAATTCGGTTGAGCTTTGCGATGGAATTGTGCTTGTGTTACAATTCAAATTATAAAAGAAAAAGGGAATATCTTAAAGAAAGAAAGAATTAAAAGAGCGGAAGCAATAAAGTAGGCAGTACTTTGCAAGGACGTAAAAATGAGAGGTGACCTCTGACATAGATCAGTGTTTTCACTCCTGTTGCCTCTCTTATTTTTGCAAGCAGCAATAAGCAGAGAGCTCAGCAGTACGCTGGGTCTGCTGGTGTCCCTTCTCCAGCAGAAAGAAATTGCCACCTGGCACATGGAAGTGGGCTGAAAACAAGCTCTGGAAATGTGTGAACACAGGCAAAAATGAACCTCCATTTGAGAGCGAATTTGATTATTGGTCTGCACGCAAAATGCTCAATTTGGGGCGACAGGAAAATTGAGAGAAAGACCAGAAGTGTCCGGAGAGCTCCCTTGCCGAGAGCCAAGCTATAGACGTCACGTCTTGGTTTCCCCGCGGCTCGTGGAGTGCCTCGCAGCTGGAACTCCGTTTTCAGATTGCACCAGGTAGCACCCTTGTCCTGGTCGGGTTTTGGG